CTCAAATTTGCTCATAGGATGAGCAAAATCAGAAATGCTCATGAGCATTTTTCAATATGCTCATTGATGAGGAACTATTTTTAACAAATTTGCTCACCATTTTTGCTCATGAGCAAAAAAATGCTCACTGATGTGAGTGCTCTAAACTCATACGATTATATATCGGCTATTTAATCAACTAATCTTTATTCCGAACATTTACAAGCTACTTCAAAGCTACTATACAATGGTAACATAGCAAATAACCTATAACAATACTGTAAAAAAAATAGTGATACATATAATAATTTATTTTCTTCTAGAAGTGCAAAACTATTCTCTTAATATATAACTACTCGTGATTGAATTAATGTATGTACAGTCCATAATTCTTAAAAATAAAAATAAATAAATAAAAAAAAAAAAAAAAGTGGACAAGTTGATATTCTTATAACTAATATAGTCATTGAGTTCAGGGTTACTATACCGTGTAAAATGGACTATAACCATTAACCAGCTCATATTAGAGAAGTGCGACAAAGTGACAAACCCATTAAAACAAATCATCTTTATTGGTATACTTGTAATTTTTAAAAACTTTAACTTGTAATTCAAGAAATAAAGCTGATTAAATTACACCCTGTGTTCTTCTGGTTGGTTACGCTTTAATAATCAATCTTTCTCTTACATAAAGATTTCAAACGTAATCAACAAATGGAAACAGAATCCAACTCCACAAATATCAGTCAAAACTTGAAACCTTGGAAAGAAGGGTCTCTTTCGTCATAGCCATAGAAGACTTGACGTCTCGACCCAAGCAATTCTCAAATAAGAACAGAAGGAGTAGCTGCTAATCTATATCTATCTATACTTAGTATTTAAAAACGAGTTAAGTATAAATATGAGGTCTAAGTTTTAAAGTTTTTCACCTTTTGGGACCTATGTTTTTTTTTTTCACCATTTGGGACCTCACATGCAAATTCCGGTCAAAATTTAATTGACTTGGGTTAAAAACTTAGTCCCTTAGTTAAAAAAACATAGTCCCCTAAAAAGTTGGTAAAAAAAACTTAGTCCCCTATAGATAATTAGATACTCATAGATGACACTAATTTTACTTTTTTTTTTTTTTTTTTTTTTAATTTAACACCCTCTCTTCTCTTAGTGTTGCTCAAGCGTTCCTTTTTTAGTGTGCTGAAATGTAGTTATAATTATGACGGAATCATGCATACAATTTAAACAAATTACGTATATCATGCCATTTTACACTAATATTATTTTGCTATTCAATTTATATATATTCACAAACTATGCCGCACGAGATCCGATATTACAGAAGCTAAAGCATCCACCAACAACGACTCCGATGACGATGACGAAGATGAAGCTCAAAACCCCCTTAAAATTTGATAGTTGAATCGAAATTGGTGCGATTTGTGGTTGCTGAACGCGTTGTGGACGGTGGTTGGAGAACTTGGAGGTGGTGCTGCAATGGTTGGGTGATTTTGGGAAGGTGAAGGTCGTAGGGGTTGCTGGGAATAGTGAAGATGGCTGCCCAAATGCTGAAGGAGAAATTGCATTAAGTTTTAATTTTTTTAAAGAAATTGCAATAAGGTGACAAATTATTTATGAGAGAATAGTTTTAATTGTATTGATGATCTTGGCTAATATTTATAGCCTACATAAGATAACCTACACAATATAAACTCTATCATATAAACTTCCATAAATCTATCTTAGAATATCACTAAGATATATTATTATTCTAAATATAATATCATAAGATATATATATGGAAAATATATCACAATAATATATTTTCCTATATTCCCAACACCCTCCCGCAATCGTAACGGCAGTAACACGAACGTTATGATTGGAAATTCGCACTTTGTTGAAGTTGATCGAGTTGCACTACTCTGTTGATGTCGCCTTCAATTTTTTTTTATTTAAAAAAAAAGAACTTTTGCTACCACGACCCTTTGCTGGTGTCCATGGTCTTCTGTCACGGCCCTTTGCTGGTGTCCGTGGTCTTTTGTCACGGTCCTTTGCTGGTGTCCGTGGTCTTCTTTGCCACGGCCCTTTGATGGTGTCCGTAATCTTCTTTGCCACGGCCCTTTGCTGGTGTCCGTGATCTTCTTTGCCAGGCCCTTTGCTGGTGTCCGTGTTCTTTTGCAATTTTTTTTTTTAAATAATAAATAATACGCCAAACGTGGCTTTTCTTCATCTCCTTGGAGATGCAATAATGGAGGAAGCACACTCAAACACTACAACCTAACCAAATCACATATGACCATTCATATTGATCACATATCACATGGTTATTCCAAAAAAAAAAAAGATTAAATAAAAAAAATAGAAATTTCAAAGAGCAATACTATTGCATAGCGGAAGCAAATTTATGAATCCCACCGGTGGGTTTAATATTCTAACCCACCGGCAGGGAGAAAATTTGTGTGAACGGTCCTAAGATTTAACCTGCTCTTGATACCATGACATATTATTTATGAGAGAATAGTTTTAATTGTATTGATGATCTTGGCTAATATTTATAGCCTACATAAGATAACCTACACAATATAAACTCTATCATATAAACTTCCATAAATCTATCTTAGAATATCACTAAGATATATTATTATCCTAAATATAATATCATAAGATATATATGGAAAATATATCACAATAATATATTTTCCTATATTCCCAACACAAAGTTAAGGAATCAACATCATTAGAAGATCACCATTGATTTTTTATAAATATTTTTATAAAATTTTATTTTTTAAAATTTTTTTATTAACGATTCAACCGTATTTTTTGGTTTGACAACATTTATGTTGTATTTTTTTTTAAAAAAGGAAGGGATTATGTTTTTTACCCTAAAATGAGTGCTAAGGGACTAAGTTTTTCTCAGGTGAGTTAAATGTGAGTTAACTTGCCGGATTCTTAACTCTAGGTCCCAAAAGGTGAAAAAAAAAACTCAGGTCCCAAAAGGTGAAAAACTTAAAAAACTTAGACCCCAACTTTGTGCTTAACTCATTTAAAAACAAAAACCATCATCCTTATAATGCCACATGTACATTTCATTTTTTTTTCCTCCAATGCCACATGTCACCTCTTTTAATCTTTATTTTTTTTAATCCCTTTTCTCATATGAAAAAAAAAATTAATTCAATACATGTATAATGATTGAAGGCTGTTTGGTTCACTTTCCTCCAGTTTAATTTCTACTACAATTGCATTTAATTTTCACCTCTTCTTAGGGATGTCAGTGGGGCGGGTCAAGTAGGAGACCCGCCCCAATGGGGCGGGGATGGGTCTCGGTTTGGCGGGTGGTGGGGCGGGGATGGGGATAAAAACCATACCCGCCATGGGTGATGGGGCGGGGGTGGATTTTAAGTTGTACCCGCCCCACCTGCCCCACTTCGTACCTGCCCACTTCGTACCCGCCCCATCCCCAACTCATACCCACATCTATATATCTTTTAAAGGAAAATTACATACTTTTATTCTATTTATAAAATAATTACATGAAATACAATATTAATTATAACACAAAAATGTGTATAGAATGTTTTATTTTATACTTCTTATAAATTATGTAAGAATGTCTATTTGAGATACGGATATTAGGTGGATCTTGGGTGGGGATTAGGCGGGTCTTTGGTGGGGATTAGGTGAGAATGGATATCCAAGTGGGGGGGTGGGGCGGAGATGGTTTTGGAGTTGTACCCGGTGGGGCGGGGATGGGGATGAAAATCGGACCCACCGCGGGGATGCGGATGGGGATGAAAATATTAGGTGGGGATGGGGATGGGAAGGCTAACATCCACCCCGCCCCGCCCCATTGACATCCTTACCTCTTCTCCTCTATAAACTATTCATTTGCCAATATAAATATATTAAAAATAATCATATATATTGTATACCTATTAATAAACCGTACATTGCACGGGTCAGAACGCTAGTTATGCTTAAGATAAACTATCAAGTTAGTTGTAGCATAACCTAGTTTAATTTGTAGCCACGTGGATATGAGCCTTTTATTCGGTGCAAGATCGATCGCATCGCATGAAATCCAAGAAAACTGAATTTAATGATTGTATTTAATGCCGCACGCACCCTTAACATGATCCTGTTATGACGGATGAAAGTGGGTTTTATTAACACAAATACACATTACAAGTTAACTAGCTAGATTTAAAGTATGCATTGAGATTTAACAATAATCACTATTTTTGACTATTTCCGTCACTTACGTGAATGGATTCAACTTTCCTTTAGTTTGAATACTTGCTAGAGTGTCACCCGTACCCTCTCACATGCATGTATACAATCTGATATATCTAAGTTAATAAATTAGCTAGTTTAGGAATTAAAATTTATAATTAGCCGTTTTGGTAAATATTTTTGTTAAACTAGCCGTTTTGTTAAAAAATCCTACATTATAGTATTTACAATGTAGTTGAAATGTAAATTAATATACTTCATCACAAAAGATCAAATAGTGTGCATGAATAATGTAAAATAGTAACGTTGCAATCAATTTAAATAGATCAGTATAAGAGCAAAAGATTTGTATTGGTTGAATCTTTACAAGAAACCGTACCCCTTAATACCAAATCATCAAAAATAAGAAAAAATTACCTAAAGCTCAAGAAAATTGAATTAGTTTTGATATTTATATGTATGTATGTAACGTATCATGAGATTTGTATGCATGTAACGTATCATGAGATTTGTATGTGTGCATATACTTCAAGTTGTTCGCCTAAAGTAATTAATCAAACTGCTTGTAATCAAAATCAGATTGCGAGCGATGCATGGGAGAAATTTCTCCCATAATATTGTGGAAGCCAATGAAGGGTTGACTTGAGCTTCATTACTTAATGAATGAAACTTACGACTTGCTTCCCTTAATAAATCTTGTAAGTAAAATTAGAAAGAAAATTTCATTCATTAATGCACAACTGTACGTGAAAGATCGGTCTATTCAATGTTCACTCCCTATAAATAGCTCACTCCTTTTCCATTTTACATATCAATTCCAAATCCTTAGCCTATACCAAGCTTCTTCATTCCTTATAATTATTTTTTCATAGCCATTTGAATTGCCAATTACAATGGCTTTGAAAACTTCCTTTTTGTTCGCTTGTTTCCTTCTCGTATCCACCCAGGTATTGATAAATGCATAATTTCATTTCTCATAATGCATTTATAAAAACATTGCAAACTTTTTTGATACGCTCATTTTTCTTTTAGTATAGGCATACATTTTATATCATATTTATGCAATGAAAAGTGATCAATAGGGGCAATCTAAACGTGCATGCTTGGTTATATAGTAGTGCAAAACACTTTTTTTTTTTTTTTGAAAGAGAAGCATATATTTATAATTAATATAAGGGTGTGTTTTCTTCATATTATTTTCAGTTCAGTTCTTAATTTCCTTCTCTCATAAAATATTCAATTCAATTCAATTCTTAATTTTCTTCTCTCATAAAATATTCAGTTCAGTTCACTCAATCAGCCCTAAGTGTCACTTATATAGTCATTGAATTCAAGGGACAATACTATTCACATAAAATGAAGTGCATAACAATTTTTGTTCACACGTCATACGCATATATAATTCTTTTTTATGCATATACACAAATGATTTATCCTTGCTTGGTTTTCTTAACATAACTTCCTTGAGTTGATGTATATTTTTTTCCTAAAACTATAAATTTTTGTATGCAGGTGTACGCTAATTGTCCACCACCTGAAGTTCACACTTCTCCCCCAGTCTACACCCCACCAACGGCTCCAACCACTCCCTCTACTCCTGCCACTCCACCAACTGCCACTCTTCCAACTCCCGCAACTCCACCGGTCTCCACCCCACCAACCACTCCTCCAACTACCGCCACTCCCCCAACCTACACTCCAACCACTCCTCCCACAACTCCCCCAACCCCCGCCACCCCTCCAACCACCTCCACACCCCCAACCTACACCCCATCCACTCCCCCAACAACCGCAACTCCCCCAACAACTTCCACTCCCCCCGCAACACCCCCAACAACCGCTACCCCCCCGACCTACACTCCTGATACACCTCCTACAACTCCAGCCACACCCCCAGCCACCGCAACTCCCCCAACCACTGCCACACCCCCAATTACCGCCACCCCCCCAACCTACACTCCCGATACACCTCCTACAACTCCAGCCACACCCCCAACAACCGCAACTCCCCCAACCACCACCTCCCCCCCACCACAAACTCCATCCTCTCCTCCAACTACCTCTACTCCCCCAACTTACACGCCTACCCCGGCAACTCCTTACAACCACGGTATGTTACGTTACAAGCTCTTTTAATTGAATTTTATTGTATATCTCATACTGAACATATTTATTTAATTTAGAGAACATAATTTGGCTTCTAATAAATGTTTCAAAAGAAGTATTCAATAAGGAGAGTACAAAAAAATAAAAATAAAAAAGATTCAAATTGTTTGTAATTTTGGATCTATTATATTTAATCTTGCATCTCTATGACTATATAACTTTATTGTTAACGTATTCAATTAACACAATTAAGGTAACATCACTAACATGGTCATGTGTGTTTGGAATATGTTAGGGTTCTGCCCAACGGAGTGCTTTAAGAGGTGCCAAGCTTCCCCCGCTTACGTCGGAAGGACAAGGATGTGTGTGAGGATATGCAGTCAATGTTGTATAGCAAACTCTAAATGTGTTCCCGGCCCTGCCGTCACTTGCCCATCCTGGAACGACATCGTCTACCACGGTGTTACCGTCAAGTGCCCTTAAATGCATCATACATTAATCCAACACCACTTTGTTTCAACGTAAAACTACAATTTTACAATTATATATGTACTCCGCACGTACTATGTTAGCAACATAATTAAGTTCTTGGAACTTTATTTTAGTTACTTCCATTTCTAATCCTTTCATATAATTAGTACGTCAAAATATATAAACTTGTCAATCAAGGTGGTAACATGCACTAATTAATTGGAGATTATCTCAATTAATTGTCCTATAGCAGTGCTCTTACTTCCTAGCTAGTTAGTCTGTTGTACTAGCTCTTGCTTTAATTTAAACAATAATTGAATGAAGTGTAGTTTTTCCCTAAGTTTATCATATGGTCCAATTCCTATATTTCATATTTTTTTCGTACTTTTTTTTTTTTGGAGGGATTTTTCGTACTTGATTAGTGTTAATCTAAACTAATTTAAGCTCAATTATATTTCAGATGTTAAAATTAGCTAATTTTTAATCTGTATAATTGTGAAAATGTAGATTGATTAATTACACATGATGTACAACTGACGACGTCTATGCAATGAATATTTACATTGGGGACCAAGCAATAAAACATTAACCACATTTAAAAATCGACTAAAGTTTCATACAATGAAGAACACCCATCATATTTAATATATACCTTCGTGTCAAACTTGTCTTCTCATTGTTAATGTCACTTTTGGACCATATATATGATGACCAAATTAGATATCTATACAATAGTTAAACTTTAAAGTCTTGACTCACGAGTAATTACAATTTTAGTTATACAACCGGTTATAATCTGCTTGATTGATTGGGTTTGGTTCAACCCGGATTTTATATCTATTGTCATTTCAGTTTAAATTAATTGGATCTACCCTACATCGTATTGAGTAGGCGGCTGATGTCTAACAATATTAAAATCATGCATCAATCGTCAATATTCGACAACAATTACACTAATAAATAAAACAATGATGTTAAAGAAATTAAAACTAGCTAATTATGATTTGGATGACTACATAGAGGCAAGGAGATTCAAATGACTTTAACAACGCCGTGATTAAGATGAAATTATATTAAATTAGAGTAAAAACGACCTTAATTATTTTTATCATATATACTCCATTATTGATGTCTACTACTCTTTGATATACTACATTCTACAAGAATATATATACATAAATAGTGAATAAAGCTAAGCTAAAGAACCCTCAAAACTTTAACAACCATAAAATTATATTGTTAGTAAAAATGAAAAACAAGCCTCACGCAGTATGTGTAGCTTTTCCAGCACAAGGTCATTTAATTCCTATGATGCAATTAGCCAAACTCATACATTCTAGAGGCTTCTACATAACCTTCGTTAACACCCACTTTAATCACAACCGTCTGATCAAGGCCAACAAGGGTTCATCACCGTTGGATGATGATGATGAGTGGGTCAACTGTTTTCCTGATTTCAAGTTTGAAAGTATGGATGATGGATTACCACCGTCCAATCGTGATGCAACCCAAGACCCTCCTACTCTATGTTATGCTCTGCGTGACAATTGTTTGCCTGCTTCTCGTGAGCTCTTGGCGAGGATACGAGCCAAGGCTGGTGTTCCTCCGATGACATGTGTCATTGCTGATGGGTTGTTGGGTGGTGTTGTTGAAGCTGCTAGAGAGATTGGTGTTCCGGATTTCCAATTATGGACTGCCTCTGCTTGTGGTTTCTTGGGTTATCTTTATTATCCTCAACTTCTTGAAAGGGGAATTATTCCCTTTAAAGGTTAGTAAATTTAATTGACTAAAAAAAAAAACAAAAAAAAAAAAAAAAAAGAAAAAGAAAATTGACTCTCGTGATTATTGCATGATCTGGAACCACCGTGTTTATCTATGTATAAGTAATTAACGATTTATGATTCTGACCAACAAATAATAACTAGGAATGATAAGTGTTTTATCAATAATTTGTTAATTAGGACTATAGTAAATAGGCAAATAGTACTATAGATAATGTGGAGTACTATAGATAATGTGTAAGGTATGAAGTGGTGATTATTCAACCTTGTATTTTGTTGTATAGTGCATAAGTCTTTACATATCACAATCATGATAAGATGCAAAATAGTATTGAAAAACATATTTGAAATATTTAATTATTTTACACGTAAGATGTGATAAGAATCTGATAATCTATTTAAACATTACATATGCAACCTTAATGTTTGGTCCTATGAAGTTCTTTTTGTTACTTTTCTTCACATGGAGGCCAAAGAGTTTTAAATATACAAACTGTTAATTTATATTAAATGTTAGGCTATGTTTGACAAGAAGTTTCATATAATTACAACGGATTGTTTTAGGGTTTTCAAATATCATACGAATTCAGTATATTACAATTTCACAATATATAATATTAAAGTTGTGAACAACTCAACGTCTAAGAAAGTTAAATAAATGTGATAACTAAATCTGGATATATAGAGAGGAGTAAATCATCGGTCTAATTTTTATTTTGTGATGCTCGTAGATGAAAAGTACAAGCACGACGGAACCTTAAACACGCCAGTGAATTGGATCCCGGGCATGGAGAACATGCGCCTTGGAGATCTTCCATCTCTTATGAGAATCACAAATGAAGATGAAATTCTTTTCACATTTCAAAAAGAACAAGTTCAAAGCGGTCTCAAAGCATCTGCCTTAATATTCAACACTTTCGATTCATTCGAGCAACGAGTTTTAGAGGCCATTAAATCAAATATCTCCCCTCAAGTCTACACAATTGGCCCACTTCCAATACTAGAGCAAAAGCATGTACCTGAAAGCCCATTAAAGTCATTTCGGCCCACTTTATGGAAAGATGATATCCAATGTCTTGAGTGGTTGGCCCAAAGAAAGCCCAAATCAGTTGTGTATGTAAACTATGGTAGTGTTACTACAATGTCTAAGGAAAATGTTGTTGAATTTGCATGGGGTTTAGCCAATAGCAAGCACCCATTCTTGTGGGTCCTACGTCCGGATGTTGTTAGCATGGAGGAATTTGAGTTATTGCCTAAGGAATTTTTTGATGAGATTAGGGATAGAGGATTGGTGGTCAGTTGGTGTCCACAAGAGCAAGTGTTGATTCATTTCGCGGTTGGTGTTTTCTTGACACATTGTGGATGGAATTCTTTGCTCGAGGCTGTGTGTAGAGGTGGTTTGCCTGTTATTTGTTGGCCGTTCTTTTTTGAGCAACCCACGAACTGTAGGTACGCGTGTTTGGATGATGAGTGGGGGGTTGGGCTAGAGGTTAATCAAGAGGTTAAGAGAAAGGAGATTGAGGATTTGGTTAGAGAAATGATGGATGGAAAGAAAGGGGAGAAGTTAAGAAAAAATGCTTTGGGTTGGCAAGAGAAAGCCGAGGAGGCTACCAATGTTGGAGGTTCATCCTTTGATAATTTTGAGAGGCTTATCAAAGAGGCTCTTCATTGTGATGCATCGATTAGTTAAAAAAATCTATGATTAGCCTAGTTCAGTGACGAACTAGTGAGATTGTACTATAAGACCAATTTGTTATGTAATATGAGTATGAAATATGTGAATGCACCATGAATTTTTTCTTTATTATTGATTTTATATGGTATTGCACAAGATTGTGTAATACTACATATTAGTATTTTATATCAAATGTTTATCTTGCATAGATACTGAAAACTCAATTAAAATTATTGAAACATGCAAAATCAAAACGTTATACATGGTACCAGTATTAAAATTCGCAAATGAGAACAATAAGCGGGGTGGTGGCGCAGTTGGCTAGCGCGTAGGTCTCATAGCTTCTGAGTAATCCTGAGGTCGAGAGTTCGAGCCTCTCTCACCCCAATTTTTGTTAAATTCATTTTGCTCTTCAGCAGATTTCTTGTACTAATAAGCTTTGGAATTGAAAATTTATACTCCGGCAATGTTGCGAGTGTCTTTTAATGCGCAACATGTGAAGAATAAATTTAGACAGAGTACCTAGATCTGCCTCCCATTTACTAGGAATTTTTAGTGTAACACCAAATACAAGTAGTTTCAAATTTTTATTGATTAAGTTTTCATAAATGCTTTGATCATCTAATTTACCTAGAAAAATTAACAATTGATACCCAAAATACTAAAGATATTAATGTTCAAAATTAATATTGAAAATAAATTGCCAATTTTCCGACTTTTGCTTGTTAGTTTTATAGTTTTTTTTTAATCTTCCGTACATGCTAATTTAGTATGTAAACTGAGCTATCGAAAAATTGTAAATAGATCAACAACTCTATCTAGCTAACATGTTTTTTTCATAATAAAATCAACAATTATAATGACTACGACCCTGTTTGACGGTAGCATTTAAGGTAGCAGTTAGCGTTTGGACCAAGTCAAAACACTAGTAGGAAAAAATAGTAAAGGTAGCGTTTTATGTAGCGGATAGTGGTAAAGATAGCGTTTTATGTCGCGGATAGTGGTAAAGATAGCGTTTTATGTCGCGGATAGTGGTAAAGGTATCGTTTAAGTAGCTTTTGTTAACCGTTGAAAATATTAGCATTTGAAAGGTAGCGGGGGTAACGTTTGATAAATTTTGTTTACTTTTTAATTGTTATGCATGTATTTTTATCGTATTAACACTTCAACCGCTATTTTTGCCAAGCGCTCATATTATTAACCATAAGATTGTAATATAGCCTCTACCCACTAGTTATTAACCTAACTACTCACTACTCTAACAACTACATACTACTCGACCGCTAAAACTACTCGTTATCGCTAGTTCTACCAAATAGAAGTAGGGAGTAATAGAAGTCACAAATCATAGATTCATACTCACTCGTTATATTCAACTCCTATTGCTAAACACTAGCGTAGTGACTGCCGACTTTTCATAAGAGCGCGACCCATTGCACCGTCCCTCACTTCTTTAACGTCTTTTTGAAACTGCAGGTTTCTTCTTCATCCTTCTTCATTGTCGTTTATTTCTCCATACAAAATTTAAGATCTTGTTAACTAACTCAATACTAAATTACTAATTCAATCACTGCAACTTTACTTTCACCCATTTACTAATTTATGATTTGATCTGCTTAATTTTTCCCTCATTTGATTTGATCCAACTTCTATAAATTTCAATTGTTGTATACTTGTATTATCTACTTCTACTTGTTGCTAACCTGCTTTTGTTTTGGATTAATATTCAAATTCTGTATTATTTGCTTGTTAGAATCAAAATCTAACAAATTCCCATTATTTAGAGTAAGACGATTTGTAATATGGTATTAACAAGTTCAGTTTTTGAATTGTTAGCTATATACACAATTTAGGGTTTATATGATGCTGTTTTAATAGTTGGTTATTCAGAATATATGAACTGGATCAAATGAGCTATTAGATCAGTATTGAATCACAGGACAGTTTGCTTTTTTTTTTTTTTTTTTTTTTTCTGTTTTTCAGCTTTTGGTAGGATTGTCAACTCTGGTAACAGATTAGTTCTGTAGGAGAATAATCACTGATCAATGGTAGGCCCACACAATCGAGCCGGATCTAGTGGACGATTACGGGAGGCTGACCTTGTTGTTGGTGATTTAGAGAATGATATAGCAAGGAAGAAAGATAAAGAGAAGGGCGATTCGTGTAAGGCGAGCATTTCTGATTATGTATGTAATGCAGTTGATGATCATTTTTTTGGAGTAGAAAAAGTTGGTGGTGGGAATGGAAAAGGAAAATTGCAGCATAATTTATGTAGTTTTGTTCTTAAGCTAGCTGTAGCTCTAATAGCATTCTTTGTGCTTCTTACATCTATTAGACGGATGGTTTCTATCACGAATAAACCATTACGCGTAGATAACGTTGCTGGTGGTTACTGGTGGATACAGCTCCAAGAACAGCTCATTTCTGACTTTTCGGATATTCAAGAGCTTTCTCTTGGCTCCTCAAGGGTCAAAGAAATCGAGTTTTGCTCTCAGGAGTTTGAAAATTATGTGCCTTGCTTTAACACTTCTGAAAATGCTGGGAACTCCTACTTGGAACGTCAGTGTGAAAGGGGTTCAAGGCTGAATTGCGTGGTTCTTCCACCGAGGAATTATAGGTTACCTCTTAGGTGGCCTTCTGGTAGGGATGTGATTTGGTATGCTAATGTGAAGATTTCTGCTCAAGAGGTTTTGACTTCTGGAGCCGTGACAAAGAGGTTAGTGGGGGCAGGAGGAGCTTTTTGTGTTTCTAGTTTAATGAAGACGTGAAGTGTATTTATGTCCTATAACCTGTGTTGCAGGTTGATGATGTTGGAAGACGACCAGATATCATTTCGTTCAGACTCTCTCATGTTTGATGGAGTTGACGACTACTCACATCAAATTGCAGACATGATTGGTCTCAGAAGTGTGTCTGACTTCAATCAAGCAGGAGTAAGTTCCAACCTCTATTCCCCACAATATCGTAGCTATCAAAATTTATGTTGTATGTTAGTAACACTTTCTCTCAAGTTAAATCGTATGAGACTTGCTTGAACTTTTAGAAGGAAAACTCCTCTGCCTACAATAAAGAGTAAGTTGAAAAATGTGATAGTTATCTTTCGATGATTCAGCATGTAACTTTGGTTTTTTATGTAGCTGGAATCAAACAATTGTTTATTTGTTGGAGAGGATGTAGATGTACACCTCAATATTTTGGCTGGCACTGATCAATGATAACATCTTGAATGTGTCTGGCAGTATCATAATTTTTGTTAAGTCTTCACAGTTGCAAGGTGTTGGATTGATTTAAAATTTCTACTCTATCTTAAATATTAATGATTGACTAATTCAGTATATGAAAGATTGTTAAACTGCATTACTGATACCTCTACCTTTCTGGCTAGTGTAATCAGTTCTTTTTCTCTGTGTAGCTGAGGAAAACTTTAAACAAATTTGCATGGCTTATTCTTAATTTTTACTTCGTAGCTGTTAGTCCAATTTGAACAGATTCCTGCCCTATAAATTTAACTTTTTTCTGTTAATCTTGTCTTTCAGATAAGATCTGTTTTGGACATTGGGTGTGGCTATGGTAGTTTTGGCGCCCATCTCTTTTCACGAAATTTGTTGACGATGTGTATTGCAAATTATGAACCTTCTGGTAGTCAAGTTCAGTTAACACTTGAAAGAGGTCTCCCTGCAATGATTGCTTCCTTCAGTTCAAAGCGGCTGCCTTTCTCATCACTTTCCTTTGACATGTTGCATTGTGCGAGATGTGGTATTGACTGGGATGAAAAAGGTAATCATTACCCCCTTCCCCTGGCCAAAAAAAAAAAAAAAAAAAAAAAAAAAGACTCGAAAGAGTAGACTCCTTGGATGAAAAAAAAAGACCTAATATGCCTTGTTATGCAGATGGGATTTTTCTAGTTGAAGCTGACCGACTTCTGAAGCCGGGAGGGTATTTTGTCTGGACTTCACCAGTTGCTGGTATGCATGGATCACATGAAACCAATGAAAATCAAAAGAAATGGCAATTTGTCCTTCAATTTGCAGAAAGTCTATGCTGGGATATGCTATCACAGCAAGATGATACAGTTATCTGGAGAAAGACCACTCAAAGAAATTGTTATGCTCACAAGTAATTTCTGTCTCTAAGAATAATGTTTCACAATAGAGTTGCAGCGAGCAATTAGATGTGATAATATGAATGCTACCGTGTAAGATTTTCATGCTTTTGTTGATCTTTCTATGTTTTTGTCTTGTGTTTCATCCAGGAAGCATAGTTCAAACCCTCCTATCTGTGAGAAGAACTATGATGTTGAATCTCCATACTATCAACCCCTCCATCTATGCATAGGCGGAACTCATAGTGAAAGATGGATCCCAATTGAACAACGCACAGCTTGGCCCTCTAGAGCAAGTCTAAATTCTAGTGAAATTAGGATGTATGGTATGCTATCAAACTCTTCCTTTTATTATATATAATCCTTAGTTCGTTGCAGTGTTGTTTCATCAGAATCATCACCGAGCATTTCTTTATATGTAACAGGTGTCCTTCCTGAAGTGTTTTCCGTGGACTCCCTGAAGTGGAAGTCAGCAATTCAGGAATATTGGTCTTTATTGTCACCCCAGATATTCTCTGACCATCCGAAGAGACCTGGTGATGAGGATCCCTCACCACCTTTTAACATGCTTAGGAATGTATTGGACATGAATGCCCAGTTTGGTGGATTTAATCATGCCTTGCTGGAAGCAGGGAAAAATCTGTGGGTCATGAATGTGGTTCCTATGACTGCAGCTAACTCACTCCCCTTGATCCATGACAGAGGATTTATAGGCACATCCCATGATTGGTAGGTGTTAACCTTTGTGTGATAAAAACTTCTTTGTTGATATGCAATAGGGAATCTCTTCGCTTTGGAAACTATATACATAATTCACATTTGATAGTATGCCCTTTATGACTGATTATTGCTGAGACTTATTTGTGGATTCACTGTGCAAAATTGATTTTAACGGTCCTTTTTCAAAATTCTGACTGCATTTTTTTTTTTTTTTTCAAGGTGTGAAGCTTTTCCATCATACCCAAGAACTTATGATATGATCCATGCTGATGGACTGCTATCACTTGAGACACGTCAGCATCGGAAGTGCACAATGCTTGATCTCTTCTTAGACATAGACAGACTCCTTCGTCCAGAGGTATGCTGAATGCACATTTTTTATCATAAATTGTGATGATTATATGTTTTTCTTGCTATTCTCTTTACCTAAAAAAATTGGCCACTGTCCACTGGTACTGAAAATTTTCCTTTCCCAGGGTTGGGTTATATTCAGTGACACACCTTCAATGATTGAACTAGCTAGAACACTTGCGACAAGATTTAGATGGGATGCCCGGACTGTAGATGTGGAAGCAAATATTGATGAGAGAGTACTCATATGCCGTAAGCCCTTTCCAGGGGACAAAGTATGAACATATGATGTTGCTCCTCTTTCATAGCATGATAGTGTTTGGTTTGATTATGTTGCTGTGGTCACCAAGGACCATATGGGAAGACAGAGATAGTTCTGTATGTGCCTTTGTTGGATTCCTAACTAATGTATAGACTATAAAGATACTAAACTTGTATTCTTTATGGGGATAGGTGGAGATGGGAAATTGCTGATAGCTAATTTATTACATTAAATTTTACCGAAGTGCCGGCGGGAAATTGGAACATTTTTTTTTTTAGAATATGAAGTCAGATATGTATTGTTGAATAACAGTAAACTATGTATGTTGTATACGGAGTAACGTATTATTTCAAATTATATAGAAACAGATTGAACTTTCTTTAACTCTTATCTTTTCCTTCCTTTATCATCAGTTTTTTTTTTTTCATAGTTCTGTCATATATAATTTCATCAGTTCTAGATGATGCTACCCTTGACCCTTGTTGCTGTACTGCATATTTTAGTGGATAATGTACCTAATAAAGACTGAAATTGAAGTAAATGTCAGCAAGCTTAAATCAAATATCTAATTATAATCCGTCTGTACCTAAAATAAGTTACATCTGGGGTTTTTCTAGGCGACGTGTGAATGAACGCAACCCGTATTTAGAGGCCCCACAAACAAGGTGCCAATTAACAGTTGAATGGCATCTTATCCCTAATTTAAGTCCATCTCTATCAATCGTTCAAAAACAAGTCCATCTCTATCATAGAAGTTGACATTTGCACCAAAAAGTAAAACAGAGGGAATAAAACAAATGGCAAAAATGAAACAAAGTATTGAAATTGTCTTCTGAATTGAAGCCAAACGCACTTGAATACTCATGCAGTGTAGATTAGAGAATATATTTCACAAACATAATTTCTCCAAAAAAGAACTACCTATGAAGTCTCCATCAAATTCAGAAATCACCTCCCCCACAAGATTAGGACTGACATCAATTTGCCCTTATTTTATAGGTCCAATCCCAACATAAATGACCCCTGATACCTCTAAAAGACAAATAAAGTTTACATTTTTAAACTCATACTGTATAAATAACAACAAAAGAAAGTGTTCTTTCTCAAAAACAAATCAGATGGAACCTCAAATTCATCAGCAACTTTCAGAAAACTTAAACCATCAAATCCAAGAAAACCCAACTCCAGACCCAATTCACCAGAAATTTCCCTACAATTTCTGGGGTACCCTTAAAGAAAACCTCAGTTTCAGGTCAAAATGGGGGGAATTGAATGGTGCAATGGGAGATTTGGGCACTTATATCCCAATAGTGCTGGCCTTAACATTGTCAAGAAATCTTGATTTGGGTACTACCCTTATATTTACAGGTATTTACAACATTGTTACTGGTGCAATCTATGGCATACCAATGCCGGTTCAACCTATGAAATCAATTGCAGCAGTTGCTATTGCTAATCCAGATTTTGGGATTCCAGAGGTTATGGCAGCAGGGATTTGTACAGCAGGAATTTTATTTGTATTGGGTGTTACACAATTGATGCAGCTTGTTTATCTGTTAATTCCTTTATCTGTTGTTAGAGGGATTCAGGTTTCACAAGGGTTGAAATTTGCAATGGCTGCTGTTAAGTATATAACAAAAGAGCAGGATTTTGCCAAGTCTAAGAGTGTAGGTGACAGGCCTTGGTTGGGTTTGGATGGTTTGTTATTGGCTATTGTTTGTGCATGTTTCATCATTCTTGTGAATGGGGCTGGAGAGGATAGACAGAATGGTGGTGGGTGTGACTTGGAATCGAGTGGCGAAAGCGGGGCCGGTGCTGGTGGTGGTGATGAGATGGAGAGGAGGAGGGGTTTGGGAAGTAAGGGTTTTAGGAGGGGTTTGTATTCACTTCCTAGTGCTGTTATGATCTTCTTGTTAGGGGTAATTTTGGCATTTGTAAGTGGACCTAAAGAAGTGTTCAAGGGTTTCAAATTTGGACCTTCTCCTATTCATGTTATAAACATCTCTAAGGAGTCTTGGAAACAAGGGTTCATCCAAGGTACAATCCCACAATTGCCTTTATCTGTGTTAAACTCGGTTATTGCGGTTTGCAAGTTGTCATCAGACCTTTTTCCGGGGAAGGATTTTTCGGCGACATCACTTTCTGTGACTGTTGGAATGATGAACTTAGTTGGGTGCTGGTTTGGTGCTATACCGACTTGCCACGGAGCTGGTGGTCTCGCGGGGCAATACAAGTTCGGGGGGAGGAGTGGAATGTGTGTAGCCCTTTTGGGCATGGGAAAATTGGTAATTGGTGTTGTTTTGGGGAGTTCAATTGTCAAAATATTAGACCAATTTCCTGTAGGAGTCTTAGGGGTGTTACTTTTATTTGCTGGCCTAGAGCTCGCTATGGCTTGTAGGGATATGAACACGAAAGCCGAGGCGTTTGTGATGCTTTTGGTGACTGCTGTAACCCTTGTAGGATCAGGGGCATCACTTGGGTTCTTATGTGGGATTATCGCTCATTTTCTCCTTAAGTTGAGGATCTTGGACAGGCCACAATCTTTTCCTAGATTGTGGATGGAAAGAAATGCATACTAGTTTAAAACTGGTGAAAGTAATATATTGGAGTTTCTTGTTTTCTTGTTGGATAGCCATCGCTCTAGTGAATTTTGGATCGTCGCAAGCTAACAATTTAATTCTTTACTATCGTATGGTAATCTCAAATTTAACAAGAAATTAATATTAGACGAGTGCTAAAAAGCATTATGTGGGATACAATTTTATTTGTGGGTTCTATTATCTTTATTATGTGTGAGATGTATGTTGATTGATGAATTTATTTGATTATTGATTTATTTTTTTATTATTATTACTATTTATTTATTTTTTATTTTTTTTATTGATTTCTGATTTAATGATCCACTTTCGATCTTTAGCTCTCTGGTACAAACATAATCAAGTAATCAACATTACTATCAAATGTGTTAATCATGCATACTTGCCTTCCAGAGCAAATCTCAATTTAAGATATTCTGAAGTGTGCTTGGGAATCATATCATAAGATTTTTGGACCTACTTTCGCTGATAAAAAATTTCACTAGTGACAAATTCATTTTCAGGTTGGGTTTATTATGTGATAAACCTTCAATTGTAAAATAAAGTTGAAACTAATGATGTCTATAATATGATACTGATGTGCCAAGGTCAAATAAATTATTAGAATAACCCTAATTGATTATGATGTGGCCATTAATAATTTGTGATAATGTGATATAGCTGATCTAAGTCGATAAATATACATAAAGTTTATTAGAGCTAATAGTTTACCTTCCATAAGCTGACACAAGCAACATTACGTTCTATCTTAAGTTTAATTCTCTTAACAAAGAATAAAAAATGGAAAATAGAATCTTAATTGCTGTTAATTATGTATTACTCCATATTGTGAAATAAGTGGTTTGAAGTAGAACATCCAACCTTAGCTCAGTTGTTAGAGTGGAGGACTGTAGTGGGTATTAGAGCTGTCAATTCGGGTAAACGGGTCGGGTTTGGGTCGGGTCAACTCGGGTCGGGTAAATTCAGATTAATTCCATAACCTATGCGGGTCGGGTTTGGGTTAGGTCATGCTTGAGTCGGGTCACGTCGTCGGGTCATACTTCTTATTGGGTTTGGTTCGGGTTTAGGTCGAGTTAATAACAAGTCGGGTTAATTCGGGTCGAGTGAACAATAGGTCGGGTTTAATTCGGGTTTTCACGGGTTAAAACGGGTTAGGATAATTCTCGGGTTCGAGTCGGGTTCGGTTCAAGTCAATAATTTGCGGGTTGGAATCAGGTCGGGTCATTCTCGAGTTTGAGTCGGGTTCGGTTCAAGTCAATAATTTGCGGATTATAATTAGGTCGGGTCATTTTCAAGTCGGGTCATTCTCGGGTTCAAGTCGGGTTCGGTTCAAGTCAATAATTTGCGGGTTATAATCAGGTTAGGTCATTTCCAAGTCAGGTCATTCTCGGATTCAAGTCGGGTTATGTTCAAGTCAATAATTTGCAGGTTACAATCAGGTCGGGTCATTTCCAAGTCAGGTCATATTCGGGTTCAACTAACTATTAATAGATAATTATCATTTTTATCAAGCTAATTATTTCCTTTGACTATAAAATATATGGCAATATATATACTAGAGAATTATATTCTATAATTTAGGAAGATAATTATCTCCTTTTGACCTTACAATAAATATATACTATATTTAACTCTTAAATTTGAGGATGATGCTCCTTTCTTTTGCTGGCCTGGACCGACTTGGTCCCCTTAGACAAAATGCTTTGATCAACAATAATAAGGTGGTCTAAATTGCATTTAAGGTGATTTGAAATCGGGTTAGGAACAATTTGGGTTGAATTTAATTAGGTCAGGTCAATAACCAGTCGTGTTAATATCGAGTCAGATTAGTAACAGATCGGGTTGAATTTTTAGGTTGAGTAAGTAATAGGTATGGTAAAATTAGGGTCGGGTCAATAACAAGTCGGGTTGAATTTGGGTCAGGTCAATAACAAGTCAGGATGATTTCGGGTCGGGTTTGTTTGTAACAGGTTGGGTTAAATTCGGGTCGGGTTAGGAACGAGTCGAATTAAATTCAGATCAAGTTAGTAACAAGTAGGGTTAAATTCGGGTTTTTACGTGTTAAACCAAGTTTGGGTCAATTTCGGTTCAAGTCGGGTTCAGTGAAAGTTAATTAAATTAGCTGATGTAAATCGACAAATCGGTGCAAGTTGTAAACCGGTATATTGGTCGTTTAAAAGCAAATTAAATGGTTCAACACAACCAATTGGACTCCCAGAGGGTATTAGGGACCATGGTAAAAGTTTCGCCAATTTTTATTTCCGGGCGAAAAAAAAGTCAAAAAATTCCAAAATTGAAGGCTAATTATCCACGCTTTTTAGGAAATTTAAGAGGTTTCGGGGCCAGGTGTCGAAAAGTCTTAAAATTCTATGGGATATATCTCGGGGTCATATAATACTGTTTGGAATCATATATGATCATTATTTGTTGTCATAAATATTCGTGATAGGCTTGAATTGATGAAATCGGTGCAAGTTGTAAACCGGTAAATGGGTCGTTTAAAGGCAAATTGGATGGTTCCACTAACCCAATTGGATTCCCGTAGGGTATTAGGGACCATGATAAACGTTTCGGCAATTTTTATTTCCGGACGGAAAAAATTTTAAAATTTCAAAATTGAAGGCTAATATCCACGCTTTTTGAGAAATTTTAGAAGTTTCGGGGCCCGGTGTAGAAAAGTATTAATATTTTAGAAGATACATCTCGGGGTCAAATAATGTCGTTTGGAACCATATACGCTCATTATATGTTGTCATAAATGTTCGTAGTAGGTTTGAGTTAATGATATCCGTGCAAGTTGTAAACCGGTAATTAAATTGGCTGTTTAAAGGAAAATTGGATGGTTCCACCAACCCAATTGGACTCCCGGAGGATATTAGGGACCATGGTAAATATTTCGGCAATTTTTATTTTCGGGCAAAAAAAAGTCAAAAAAATTCCAAAATTGAATACTAATATCCACGCTTTTTGAGAAATTTTGAAGGTTTCGGGGTTCGGTGTCGAAAAGTCTTGAAATTCTAGAGAATACATCTTGGGGTTATATAATGCTGTTTGGAACCACATATGATCATTATATGTTGTCATAAATATTCGGGGTAGGCTAGAGTTAATGAAATCGGTGCAAGTTGTACACCGAAAATTGGTCGTTTAAATGCAAATTGAAAGGTTCCACCCACTTAATTGGACTACCAGAGGGTATTAGGAACCATGGTAAACATTTCGGAAATTTTTATTTTTGGGGCGAAAAAAAGTCAAAACATTCAAAAATTAAAGGCTAATATCAATGCTTTTTTATTTTTGGAAATTTCGAAGGTTACGGAACCCAGTGTCGAAAAGAAATGAAATCTTAGGGAATACATCTCGGGGTCACATAATACTGTTTTAAACCATAAATGATCATTATATGTTGTCATAAATGTTCGTGGCGGTCTTTAGTTAATGAAATCGGTGCAAATTGTAAACCGGTAAATTCACCATTTAAAGGCAAATTGGATGGTTTCACCCACCTAATTGGACTCCCAGAGGATATTAGGTACCATGGTAAACATTTTCGGCAATTTTAATTTACAATCGCAAAAAATGTCAAAGAAATTCCAAAATTTAAGGTTAATATCCACGATTTTTGAGAAATTTTGAAATTTTCGAGGCTCGGTGTCGAAAATCCTGCAGATTTTAGGTAATACATCTCGGGGTCATATAATGCCATTTGAAGCCATATATGATCATTATATGTTTTTATAAATGTTTGTGGTATGCTAGATTTAATGAAATCGATGCAAGTTGTAAACCGGCAAATTGGTCGTTTAAAGGCAAATTGGATGGTTCCACCCATCCAATTGAACTCCCGGAGGATATTAGGGAACATGGTAAACATTTCGTCAAGTTTAATTTATGGGAAAAAAAAAAACAAAAAATTCCAAAATTAAAGACTAATATATGCGTTTTTTGAGAAATTTTGGAGGTTTCAGGACCCGGTTTCGAAAGACTTGAGATTTTAGGAAATATGTCTCGGGTTCATATAATGTCATTTGGAAACATTAATGATCATTATTTGTTGTCATAAATATTCGTGGCAGGCTTGAGTATGTTAATGAAATCGGTGCAAAATATAAACCGGTATTGGTCGTTTAGAGGCAAATTGGTGGTTCCACCCACCTTATTGCATTACCATAGGGTATTACGGACCATGATAAACATTTTGACAATTTTTATTTTCGGACGAAAAAAAGTTAAAAAATTCCAAAATGGAAGGCTTAATATTCACGCGTTTTGAGAAATTTTTTAGGTTTCAGGGCCCGGTGTCGAAAAGCTTTGGGATTTTAGGGGATAAATTTCGAGATCATTTAATTTAATATTGTTTTAAACCATATATGATCATTATATGATGTCGTACATGTTCGTGGTAGGCTTGAGTTAATGAAATCGGTGCTATTTATAAACAGGTAACTTCGCCATTTAAAGGAAAATTGGATGTTTCCACCTACCTAACTAGACTCCAAGAACGTATTTGGGACCATGGTAAACATTTCTGCAATTATTATTTACATGCGAAAAAGATTCAAAAAATTCCAAAATTTAAGGCTAATATCCATGCTTTTTGAGAAATTTTTGAGGTTTTTACGGTCCGGTATTGAAAATCCTAAAAATTTTAGGGGGTACATCTTGAGGTCATATAATTCCGTTTTGAACCATATATGATGATTATATGTTGTCATAAATATTCGTGGTAGGCTTGATTTAATTAAATCGGTGCAAGTTTTAAACCGGTAAATTGGCTGTTTAAAGTCAAATTGGATGGTTCCACCCAGCCAATTGGACTCCCGGAGGATATTAGGGACCATGGTAAACATTTTGGCAATTTTATTTCTGAGTGAAAAAAGTCAAAATTGAAGACTATTATCCACGCATTTTGCGAAATTTTGAAGGTTTCGTGACTCGGCGTCGAAAAGCCTTGAAATTTCAGGGAATACATCTTGGTGTCATATAATCTCGTTTGGAACCATATTTGATTATTATATGTTGTAATAAATTTTCGTGGTAGGCTTGAGTTAATGAAATCGGTGCAAGTTGTAAATCGGTAAATTTGTCGTTTAAAGGCAAATTGGATGGTTCCACCCACCCAATGAGACTGCCGGAGGATATTAGGGACCATGGTAAATATTTCGTCAATTTTTATTTCCGGGTGAAAATAAGTAAAAAATTTCATAAATTAAAGGCTTAATATCCACGCTTTTTGAGTAACTTTTGAGGT